GATGATTTAGCCGGTCCTTATCAAACTCTACTTCAAATGTGTGCTATCAAATCTCATTTACTTATTATATGTCCTTAACTTCATATTATCGTTAGAGCCGCAGAGCATAATAGATTTCCTCCCAACACCTAACCGCTTACCATTAGTTTCATATTCACCAGACCCTGTGTTTCCGTTTCTACGATATTGACCTTACTCAAACCCACTTTTGTCAAGACATCGCCGTCGCATACGTTAGTACCAAGCTACGAGGACGCCTTTACCTTCCCGCCAGCATTTACGATATGCTGTCAAACAACCTATTTACTCGAATTTTGAGCTTTTGGGGATTTTTTTAGAAATGAGGTACATATTAATTTTTTAACGTTAACGACAGAGCAGGACATATAAGTCTCAACTTTCAGGCCACGTGGGACTGCGCGGCACTTATGTGTCCGGCACAAAAGCCAACTTTTTTTGCACTTCAACAATTATTTTCACATGTACTTTCCACTTATTCTGAAAAAAAAAAACCTTAACATGAGCGTAATCTGCTCTAAAGGATATTAGATATGCTTGATACAGCCATTTTCCGTTTTTTTCATAAATGTAAATAAAAAGAGGATAAAAAGCAATTGCAGAACATAACAGATTGCAAGATATATTTTGATCAAAAAAATCAAAAGTCGGGTTTGCTTTGAGGTACATTGCCGCTGAGTCTGCCGCTAGGCCTAATAAATTATGCTTTTTCGTTGCTATCCACGTCCTTTTCATCAAAATTCCACTTTTCTACCCCTAGATAGCTTCTATGCTTCGAGTACTACCGCAACACTTTTGAGCAATCCATATTTTTTGTACTAATTATTCACAATCTACGTAAATAAAGTGAAATTGTCGCGCTCACAAAATCGCGCCGACCCCACGCGCCAACAAAGCCAAACGCACCTTTACGTTAGCATGTTGAAGGCATCTCGATTTCAAGGCAAGTCGCACTAGCGAGGAACGTTACTCCCTTCTGGAGCATCCCTTTGGATTAATTCCTTTCCATATCGATAAACCAGAGGAGTAAGACATTCGTCACGGGATGCCCCTGGATCAAGCACCGTCGTAATTTTATGGCTCCGTCAGCATTTACAATGTTTATTTATTTACGCATTTATTTATTTGCTCATTTATTTATTCATTTATTCAGGGCGGAAGTGGTGTAGTGGCAAGTGGCACGCTTACCACGCGAGCGGTCCGGGGATCAAATCCTGGGTCGTGAGTCGCCCGGGCCAACCAAGCCTTCCATCCCTCCGGGGTCGGTTAATTGGTAATTGGTACCTGGAGTGCGCATGCCCTTGAACATCAGCTGAACTCTTTGAATTTATATTTTCATTATTTAGCAACTATTTTCACATAACTTTACGGCTGAGTCATTTCAATGAGAAATTCTCTGTTTTCAGCGTTTGCCAGTTTTATTCGCGCTCTTTCAGTTGGGAAAATTTTTCGTTACCCCATGCCATTTCCAAGCACCTGCCCGTTATATGCTCACGGAATTACAGCTGATTTCACAAAACGCAACCCTGGTGCGGTTAGGATTACGTCATGTCCGTAAAATCAAGCATATAATTTACGAGAACGTTTTAGCACGTTCCACGCCCCATTTTTCACCATTAGGAAATTACAACTCAACACGGCTTTTCCCACTTGATCAGGCACAGCAATAGTTTTTAACGGAGTTGAAGAAAGGTGGCATGCCCTATGTTTTCCACATCTCGATACGAGCGTTTTTTTGTCCATTCACTTTTGGCTGTTTGCTTTTGCGGTCCAGCTTTTTCTCAGAACTCAGATATTTTTTCTACATTTCTTTATCAAAGCACCAAGACGCTAATCCCGTTTATATCCTTATCACTGAAGGCAAAGTTCGGGATTTCTGGTCGGAATCTCATAGCTTTTCCCCGTGAGGTATGCAGTAGTACGCAAGCGTGGAGCATATGCAGAAGCAAGGTATGATTTGACAAGCCTATAGCGCTAAGTGACAAGGATGAAGCGGTGGCGCCGTCCTGACCCCATCGAGCCCGCCCGCAGTTCCACTTGACCTTCCTCGATCCCATGGGAGAGCTTAAGGCCGATGTCAGACTTTGCGAATCGCGCGATTCGCTAGCGTCCGCGGTCGCGTTGCGGTACCAGCCAATTGAGTGATTCACTGGCCGCGACGCGACCGCAGACGCTAGCGAATCGCGCGATTCGCAAAGTCTGACATCGGCCTTAATGTTTAACTGTGCTCCATTTCAATAAAAAGGACATGTTATACATTCCTGCTTGTGAAGCACGTCGGAGTACCGGCAAGCGTGTTTTTTTTAAGGGCGCGTGGCACTCCAGGTGAGAGGATTTTGAGGAATTTTAGCAAGGCAAATGGAGGGGAGAAATAAGATCTAGTGTATGGAGTGCGGAAGAAACGTGGAGCAAATGCGATGAAAAACAATTGATGAAGAGAAGGGGCGGTAATAGTTGGGGTGTGGTATGAGAGATGTGAGCGAGGAGGCGCGCTGAGCGGGTTGGACGGGACTGCAGGGCCGACATAAGGGGGGGAGGGGGGGGGCTGCGTGTGGGGGCGTCGCGATAAGGCAGGTCGCTCCTATCGTTGTTACTTTGAAAAAATTTCGAGCCCCTCCCCCAGGTGGATTGATACGATCACGCCTATGGGGTCGACCCTCGGGACCACCATCATGTGGCGTCCGCGTATGGTGCGGGCTTAAGTCTCTTGACCACGTCAACACCCACAAACCGCCGCCCACTGATTGTTCCTCGCAGACATGCCGGTCAGAGCGGGAGTAGATAGTCCACTTGTGAAGACGGTAAACTAGTCGGGGTTGGCTGAGAAAGTTTCCTGATCTGTTGCGACTCATTTCAAAGGCCGGATTTTTTTTTATGCCTAGTGAGCTCACCACTACTCTCCGTTTTCTAAGGAGGGGGGATAAGCGCCCGGCTGAAACGGCGAAATTTGGGGGTTATTCCTGTATGTCTGCCCGCTCCACTCACCAGCCTACTTATACACGAGAATCTTTACGGTATGGATTTCACCTTCAATCCACACGTGATTTCTAGTGGGTTGTGAACCCCCCCCCTCCAGCGTAAATCAGAGTACGGTACTCCCGGATCGGGGTTGGGGTACTTGTACCAACGTAGGGTTGACCCTGCTCCAAGGTGTTAAAAACGGAACTGAGCCTCAGGCGGGAGGAAAGGCTCCAGGGTTTATCATCCATTTTCATATTCGCGAATCGAATCCTTACAGGCCAAGGATGTAGAAGAAGAGTCCAAGCCTTACAGGCTATATCCTAGAGGATGCCGCCATATATTGTGGTAGCACCGAAAATATTAAAAGAAAAAAGCGCAACGTGACGGTGATGCTTTTCCAAAATGTAGTATCTATATTGAGAAGTTTTCTATCGTGTGCTATTTTATAGCTATTTGCACTTTTCACTCGAATCCAAAGCATTCTGACCATTCTAAGCAAGCTCAAATATGTAGTTGTCGCTTTCAGTCATCTAAACCTTATTTGTCCTCCTTTCCCATTGAACCTCTTCTACATGATTTATTTCTCGTGTTGTGGCGCCGTTTCTGATTCGAGCCCCGGCCCTCAGCAAGCTACTATGTTATTTATTGTCCTCATAACAAGCTGACCCCCGCTGAACAATCCCTAATTTCCCTTTCTTTATTACGAGAAGGACGTGATGAAGCGGTTAGTGGTGTCCTTTATCACACATAGTTGGGGGGGTTAAAACTAGTATCGCGTCTGGTCCAGTATAGCCAAGCCTCCCGTTCAGCTGGAGTCAATACGCTAGGGCCATACACTTCTCTGAGAGAGTAAACACTTAATTATGCACCGACTTGTCCCGGCAATTTTTTTCAAGGGTTTAGATGAAGTCTTCAAAATACCATTACAATTCTGAATAAAGTTCGGATGCATGGCCCATTTCAAGGAGGATTGACCGAAGCCAGACGTTTAACACTTCATCTTACAGTATTAGCGTGTTTCGTCTAAAACTCAGCGATGTTCGATCTCCGACATATGCTCACGGAAACAACTATATTCCCCAAATATGTATTCGCACTTTACAGTCAAGTGAGCTTGAGCGGATACGGGCAGGGAGCAGCTGGTGCCACTAGTACTCCATGAATCAGATCGTTGTACCCCCCCCCGCCAATTCCGGGATGGTCATTAGGTACCAGTGGAGCTTTCAAGGTGAAATTCGGGTCACATATGCGTGACGGTCGCTATTCCACAAGTCAACGGACGCAGAGAACTTTCAGTTCCTTTAATTTTTTGAACCGTTTATGATATTGAGCTGAGCCCATGGGGGCTTATCAACATTAGGCTCTCCATCCTTTATTTACAGTCTTCTTGAAAACCCTCCAGGGCCCTCTTTCCCTATTTTATGGCCCTACTGGTCACAATGAGAGGATGGCGGGGCGATTTTGATGACGTCAATGAATGTCATTGGCGACTGGACCCTTCAACGCGCTGAGGTGTGGTCAGAACCCCGCCCCTCAACGTCCTTCCACTAATGACATTTACTGACGTCATCATGACCGCACCACCCTCCAGCCGTTGTGGTCTATGCCTTTAATCTCTTTCAACTATAAGGTATTCAGTATTTCTGACCTTGTTGATCTCTCCCTCTTCCGAACAATTTTGACAGCTTTTTCTAAAAATTTCATTTTCACATAGAAGCACCTGTCGAGCACCTTTTCTACACCTTGGACACATAGGTTTCACATTATCTGCACGAAGTCAGTCTGCCTTTTTTAATTTCCACCCGCTCGTCCGCATAACATTTCCTCGAAAATATAGAGCCATTTCCTACTTTCACCTCTTATTTTCTTCCCACGCGATCCATTCTATGAGGAACATTGCTTCAGAGAAGTGTTCATTGTACGTGATCATCTATTCGTCTCTTCAAATCACTCCACAATACCGTATCAGACCGTTGTGCGCGCAGCAACAAGACCTACACCGGAAAACTCGTCCATTTGAGCCGCGATGGCGGATCGCGCGCGGCGCGCCGCACCCGCCGACGACGGTACCGTGCGGATTAACGGTATCGTTCTTCCGGCTGACATGTCTGATGAGTTGAAAACGCTCAATGTGAAGCTCGAGGATACCGCTGTTGAAGTAAGTTTTACTGAGGTTCTAGTTGACGAGAAATTAGGTCTTAAGGACCTTTCTCAAGAAAGGAGGGGTAATTTTGGCGCGGCACGTTTTTTCCGTGCCAAATGTTTCCGCGCCCTTTCCGAAATAGGCTATCCTATGGTAATGTATCGACAATGAAGTCATTCGGCGGCTTTCGGTGTTCGGGCTCCTTCATCGATTCGCATATGCGTTCTTCCATCGTAGCACAAGACTATCAGCTTTGAAGACTGGCATGTGTGCGCGTGGGAAAACAAACAACCATTGGCAGTTGCGATGTGAATAGACTACGGAGGGTAAGAATGAAAACACGAAAATATCCCCAATAGGAGATCTGTCACTCAAAAAGCGCGCTTCGTATTCTCAAAGACAGGAGGTGCATTACTACGATGTAAGCATGCGGGCTAGATCCCAAATAGGGTGCATTCTTGTGCTAGTACCCCCCGGGCAAGACGTGCGTTTCTCCTCCTGGGGTCAGGTCACCACAGTTGCGCGATCATTGAAGCTTAAGGTTAAGTTTGGGTTTAGACTTAGGTTAAGGCTTATGCTTACACATTGGCTTATGCCTAAGCCTATGATTGGGCCTAGGCTTAGTCCTAAGCTTGCTCCGAGCGAATTTTAGGTTACCTGACCCCAGGAGGAGAAACGCTACGCACCCAAACGACGGTAATTCACTCCTGGGTAACCTATCGCGATCAGGGGTATCGTTCCTTAGGGTGTGGGTCAAGACGTAAGGATTGCGGCAGCGAAGCGGTTTTGCAAAAGTCGTCAATTATCGCGCGCGTGTCAGCTGTCTACCCTCCTGACATGGGAATGCATAGCAACTCGAATTCAAGAAAGCAACTAGCTAAGAGCTGACGAGCGCAATAACCTGGTTTCTGTCC